GATTTGAGGCAGGTGTGTTGCCAGGTAATTGAGAAAGAGAATAGCAAAAGGGATTTTGAGCTGCTTCCTCAGAGGTAGCTTTTGGAGATGAGTTATATAGCAACTTCTGTTTGGCTGTACAGAGATCCTGCAGTTGTGTTCTGGGCATCAGGAGGAGGTTTCTGACTGTGTGTCACAGTGTGAAGGGCTCAGTGACAGTGGAGCAGGGCAGCCCTGCAAAATGCAGCCCAAACCACGGGGGCAGCAGCAGGTGTTTTGGCACTTTTACTTCTTCCTGTGGCAGGCCAGTAAACACTCAAGGCCAGACACTAGATCTGCTCTGCCCCTGCTGAATCTCCACCAGACGTGCTAACTAGCTCTCAGCATCTATTCTGGTGTGACAGCTCCCATCCACTGAGGCAAACCCTCCTTTCCTGAGTGACCAGTGCTCCACAGCGCAAACAGAAACCCGGAGTTAGGGAAAAAGGCGGAGAAATGAAGAACTTTTTCGTGATGCTCAGCTCCCCTAGAGAGTTCTCTTAGTCTTGGCATATTTCCCACATTTTTTCCTCCCCTAAGGCACGTCACAGGGAAAGTGTGATCCTGGGATTGAGCACAGAACTGGAGCAGCATTAGCTGGAGCTCCTGCCAGCTGCAATATGCTCTTACCTCTCTTGCAGATGGATGAGACAGGTCGGATCCTTTGCAACCTGTGCAACGTGATCCCAGGAGGTGTGGTGTGCTTCTTCCCCTCCTATGAATATGAGAAGCAGGTGTATGCACACTGGGAGAAGACAGGGCTGCTCACCCGCCTGGCAACTAAGAAGAAGGTGATTGTGCAGCCGGGGCAGTTGGTACTTTACATGGAGGTTTCAAAAATCAAACAATTACATATGCACTACAGGCCTCTCTCTCCGAGTTGTTCTCATACCCTGCACAGCAGAGCAGAGAGGATGTTTATCTGGCTAATCCCTCCAGTTACAAATAAATGGTACTTCCCGGGTGGCTGATCACTGAGCTGGGATCTAAATTGGACTGAATGCAGCCATACGTTCTTGTAAGTGCACAGTCTGTGTAGTGGCCATGGGGGGAGACAGTCTTCGCTTTCCATCACCAGCAGGCTTGTTCCTGTGTGGATGGGGAGGCTGTTCAGATTGAGCTCTTACAGGGAATTTGTTTTTCCCAGGCTCAGTGTGTCCCTTGAGCACAGACCAGCACAACCAAGGGCTAGACAGAGTGGGGCCACACTGCGGTTCATAGGAAAAATGGTGGTTTGCTTCCTGGTAGATGTAACACAGATGAGAACTGGAAGACCAGCAGTGGTGACTCCCGCTAAAGGAGTGATGAAACACATTAAAGAGGGAGATCTGCAAATATAAAAATCTTTGCAATGACTTTTCACAAGTATTTGAAGATCAGGCGTATTGAAGATCAAGCAGTTCAGGGTGTGGTGCAGGGATCTTTGATCACATGCCAGGGGGGTGAAAAAGTTACATATACCCTGACTGTGACTTCTGTTTACCAAAAGCTAAATAACTTACCATGTGGATTAGGAGAGCACAGTCCCAGATATTTCACAGCCTTGGTGCCAGCATTCTGGCACGTGGATCTGCCTGTAGGTTTTTGTGGTGGAAGCATTATGCTTCGGCTTCTCCACGTGTTTGTACAGCTACTATTCCTCGTGCCTTTCAGGTGTGTCCTGTCAGGGTCCCAGTGCTCTGGCTGGTGCCTCCAGGGTTTTGTGCCACAATCACACAGTTTGTTCTGCCTTTCAGCTCTGATTTATTCTCGTTTGGCCTTTGCAGTCTCCAGCAAATTGGATATGCGTTAGCAAGGCAATTTGGTACAACTGCAGCAAGTGTGACTTTCAGCTGCCAACACACAAGACCAGACCATAGCAGGGGAAGGCTCGAGTCCTCAGGTGGCTGTGGTGACATCACACTGAGATTGTATATACATAATGTAGGGAAAATTAATTTAAATCAAAGGATTAAATAGCTACTCTTCAATAAGTTAGTTTGGGCCTATATTTGTAATTGCCAGTTATTTTTCTATTGAAGGACTGATTTTGACTGGTAAAATTTGATAGTACTTCTTGCCAACCAAGGAAAAACACATCTTTTAGGTTCTTCACTGTCACAGAGAAGACAGATGTTGCACCTCTTGTTTACTAGGAAAACAACTTGTGATATAGGCCAAGGTGCAGCATTGATCAAAATACAGCTTAATTAACTGCAGGGGCTTTCAGTAACTAGTTAGGCATGCAAGAATAACATAAAGATATATTATTTATTTATGCATTGCATAAAAAGCTGATTTATTCACTGGGCAAGTGAAGCTATCACTTGGAATTAATTAGTGATTCAAATTGATCAGTCCTGTCACTGTCCTCCAAGATCTTGGAGCTGGAAAGTCTCCTCACCCTGGAGGATCTTGATTCATAAGTGCAAGAGGTGCACACTGCTTTCCTGCCTCTCAGCTCTTGGATAACTTCTAACTTCTTGCAGAATTAAACAAGTCTGCCAAAGCTGAAGGGGAACGTTGGAAGGGCAGGAGCAGCTGCTGCTCCCTTCATAGCCCAGCTGGAAAGTGAACATGCAGTGCATTTCCATGGTGGAGGGGAAAGGTGCTGGTTAAGTTGGTTTTTCAGGCAATTTGCCTTTCCCTGATCTCAGTTCCATATGCTGTTTAATGGCGTGAGAGTGAAATGATTTGCCTTCTTTAAACTGTTTGCTTCCTGTTGTTGGAACTGACGCCCTGTGCCTGTGACAGATCTTTCAGGAGCCTAAGAAAGCCAACCAGGTGGAGCAGGTGCTGGTGGAATATGCCAAGTGCATAAAGGTAAGCCGAGCTGGCAGGCTGGTGGGAGTGTGGCATCCCAACTGGTGTGGGAGTGCTGCTAAAGAGGGCACTGCAGCTTTAACAAGAGGGCTCTAGCTCAGGTGAGGGAGTGTTTCTGAAGCACAGAAATCTTCCCAACTCTGGTTTAAGTTGATGGTCCCTCTCTTGCAGCGCTGCAGCCAGGCAGGAGGACAGATGACAGGGGCCCTGCTGCTTTCTGTAGTTGGAGGCAAAATGAGTGAAGGGATCAACTTCTCTGATGACCTGGGAAGGTAAGGTGACTGCTCCTTCTTGAGGGGTGAGCTCTGGCTTGTGGTGACTCCAAGCAGGATGGTCACGTCAGTACTTGCATAGATAGAAAATCCTGGGCAGCACATGACCTCAGCTGATGCTTAAAGCAACAGGAGGGTCGGCTGGGTGGTGTAAACCTGCTTGTCCAGGCTACTTTTCCTGTGAATGCTGCAGTTAGGCTTGCTGTGCTAGACAATCCCTTGTTCTGGCACCCTGAATCCCTCTGCAGCTCTGTTCAGAACGTGCTTGTCAGACTGCTGTGCTTTTTTGCTGCCTTTGGTTATCAGGGCTGGCTGTCTTTTGGGGGTGCAGTGACCTCTAATTTATTGGTCTATTGGCAAAGTGCTATAGGATGAGACATTAAGAATAATGCACTCCCTTCCTTGCAGGTGTGTGATTATGGTGGGAATGCCTTACCCCAACATTAAATCTCCAGAGCTTCAGGAAAAAATGGCTTGGCTTGACAAAACAATGGTAACAGATTACACCTCTGCCTGTTTCACTTTTGCTTTATAGTGTTAACTTTTCTCTCAGCACAGGCATGCAAGAGACGCCTTTGAAGGCTTTGTTTTGTTTTCTCTGAGCTTGCCGTGGTTTCCCAGACTGTGTGGTACCGAGAGCACAGCCTTCTCCAGGCAGCTCATGAACAGGTGGTGGCAAACACAGGGAAGAAGCTCAGTGGAGGGAAATACCATCAGGGCTCACTGGGAACTCTTGAGTTCCAAAGGGAGCAAGGACCCTTTACCCCAGAGGAGGTGGCAGGGTGGTAGAAGCTGCTTGCCAGGATCACTTGTCTTGGGTCATTTGTCCTTTCTTACTGCTCACTGGATGTGCTGTTCCTGAGCAGCTGGGAACAGGATTTCTGCCTTCAAGGGGACCATGGGCTGGCTCTTTGTGAATGCTCAACATAGTTTTCTGACTGCAGCCTTTCTTCTGTCCCTCCTTGCTCTCTAATTGGGGTCTGCCTTGCTACCTGCTCACTCTGCAGGGGTAAAAGCATTTGCCTCACGTTGTCATTCAGACTCCCTAGTTTGATTTACATCTGCCTCATGTTCAGACTTGCCTATTTCTCCTTTCCAGCCCAGAGCTGCTGGCCAGGCACCTAGCAGAACGCTGATTGAAAACCTGTGTATGAAGGCAGTAAACCAGTCAATAGGTAATTCATCCTTCCTTGGACAGGCTGGGGGGTACGAAATGTGACAGCACTGAAGGAGCAGGGTGGGAGAAAGGAAGCATTACCCAGTCGTCTGGGTAATCGTACTTAGAGATGATGGGAACATGAGCTTCCTTGTCTGAGAACAAACACTTGACTGGGCCATTTTTTGTTTTTATGCTCTGTACAGGCAGAGCCATTCGGCACCAGAAGGACTTTGCGAGCATCCTGCTCCTGGACCACAGATATGCACGGCCTGCCATCTTTAACAAACTGCCACAGTGGATCAGGGAGAGAACCCAGGTGAAACCTGCCTTTGGATCAGCATTTGCAGAATTAAGAAAGGTCAGAACTTCTATCTCATGTACTGCTCCCCAGACTGCTTCCCACTGTGCCCATCTTGACTTGTCTCAAGTCTTCCCTTTAGAGTAAAGGGACAAACTGTCTGGTTTTGTGTGTTCCCAGTTCCATCGAGGGAAGTTGGATGCTTTGTGACGTGGCCCAGAGAACAGACGGTATTCACCTCTGTGAGTTGCACCTCTGAAAAATGGGTGAAGCAACACAATCTGCTTTTGTATACCATGGACTTTGTAAATCTCTGCATTCTGCCTCCTTTGTGGATGTTTGCTGTTCAGTATCTGAGCACTATGATGGCGAGCCAGCCTTCAGCACTATAACCGGGAGGGAAACTGGTTGTAGGTCTGAGGCAGGTGAAGGTAGTAGCAGCAGGCTTCTATTTGTTTACAGCTGTTAAGGTTTTATTTAAATTGATTAAATACTTTCAAAACATTAAGTATGGGGAGTATAATTATTTTAACTGAATACATCTGTTTTTTCCCATCAACCACCACACGTAGGAGGCCTGATGGTCAATGACAACATAGAGCTTTTCACAGGAATTGTAAACTAGCAGGCCATTAGTTTGTGTCCTGTTGGAATAACACACAGCTGGAGTGGTAAGCCACAAGGCAGCTATGGGTAACATTTCTTGTCCTCTTGCTTCAAGCTGTCAGTAGATTTAAGGAGCAGTTCATTCTTTCCAGGGGAATAAGGATATGGCCATAATATAGCACTTCTCCTGTGATCATGCTTAGGCAGAGGGTTGCTCTGTTCTTTCTACTGCTTAAGTTTTTCAACTACAAGTAACTTTTTTAGGTTAACATTCCTGGGGTTCTTTCCAAGGTTATAGGTCAGTGCTGGAGGGCAGCAATAACAACAGGGACAGCTACGTCATCCCACAGCCGGCCCCAGCTTGTTCTGTCATCCTGAGCAAGTTTCTTCCCAGGAACTTCCTTTTCCTCTCTGCCAGTTTCAGCAGCTGGATGCTACCTCTCAAGGCTCTTCACAATGAAGAAAGTACTTATAATTATGACACAAGAGCTGTTACCCACTCCCTGTATGTTAATTAGCCCCACAGGGAAAGAAAGAGCTGCCTATGAGAAACTTCCATTGTGAGTCTCCTGACCCTTCAGAGGGTACCAACCCTGCACAAGCTCTGCCTTCACCCCAGTGAAAGAGGGAGGGGGGGGCACCTGCTTCTAGCAGCTGGTGCCCTCTGGCTTGTGGCTGGTGATGCTGTGCTGTAAGGCTGGTCCCCACCAGCCATGCGTGGACAGCTGGGCTCTCCCTTTCCACACCCTTAATTGATGACACTTCCCACTTTTACCAAAATGAAGGTGGAAGGACCTGCTTCTTTCAACTTTATTAAAATTTTCAGACAGCAGCAGATTGACACTAATGCTCAACTGATCCCATCTATGACTCCCAGTCATCCTCATCCTCCTCACCCACGGGCTGCTGTGGGGGTGGGAGGGGTGGAATTGAGTCCGACATGCGAGCAAAGGCACCGGCAGGACTGCCTGGAGCATCGGCATTCCCAGAGGCTCCTGGCCCTTTCCCTGAAATACCTGTGATGGAAGGAAAATCACCAGTAAGTGACACCCAGGGACTAGAGAACACAGACTCAGCAAAGGGGAGGGGGAAAGCCATGCTCCCAGCACCCAGGTAAGCAGAGCTGCCAACACGTTCAGTGCTACCACAGTCCTGTGCCAAGGGCTCGTTTAAGTACAGCTCCACCTGAGCAAGTCCCTGCTGTTCTCTGCCCAGCACTGAGGCATGGTCTGGCCCTAAATGCCCCTGGCTGGGCAACTCAGGTGCCCCCATGGGTGAGGGGTCCAGGTAGCTTTCAGAGTTCATCCTCTGACTGAGACACACAACCTCCTCCAGTGCCTCCAGCTGGACTTGAGGTGGAGATTCCTCTGCTCACCCTCTCTAAAGACACTCCCAGTCACACTGTGGTACACTTGCCAGGGAAAGTCTCTCTGTTCCTGTTTCTAGAGCTGTGGCTGACACAACTGAGGTGCCAGGAAACATTCTCCCTCTTTCCTAGGGGGAAGGAGCAGCCCACCCTGCAGGACAGTACCTTTGCGCCTCAGCACCAGTTTATTGAAGAGGTCTGACATCAAATCTCCACCTTGTCCCGTAGCTCTCACTGAAACAGGAGAATAAGTCAGTCAAGAAACACTAGTCTGAACCAAGCACTATGGCAAAAGCATTCCCCTGCAATCCTACCTTCAGATTAAAGAAAAAAAAAACCCAAATCTCTATTCTTGTATCACACTCCAAAACTATAGCCCAGTTTCAGGTCAGGAGAACACTAGGCACTGCAGGGTAATGGCATCTTCTGGGGAAATCCAAGAGTGGAATTCCTTGAGGGGCTGTGCATTTGCAGTCTCATTCTGCCAAACCAGCTCCATCACTCCCCTCCCAGCCACCTCAGCCAAGGTGCTCAGACTGATTCAGCCTTGCCCCTCTTGGCCCTGGGGTTTCATTTGTGTGCCTGCTCCCATGCAGCACACGGGAAACTTTTACATGTGTCCTGAGACAGAGCGTGCCTCTGTCAAGAACATGGATGCCCTGGCAGATGGGGTTCAGTGAGTTCACAGACTGGGAAACACCTGAGACCTAAACAGGCCTGTGAGGAGAGAGAATCCCTTTCTGCTCTCTAAGTTCACTGTGCTCCTGACTTGCCCTCCTGCCCCCAGACCCACACCTCCCCAGCCTGGGGCAGAGAGCAAGGAAGAGCAGTTCTGCTGAAGGGCCTCAGCACCTTGTTCCTGTTCCTTCTGTTTCTTTTTCTCCAGCTTCCTCTCCTTGACACTGCGGAGGTTGGCCTTCCCAATGCCACCGGCCTGGCGGATGGACTCCAGGAGACTGGCACGCCCAGTAGACGGGTTCACCACCTCCTTTGGGGCTCCCTGGACAGAAGCTGCAGAGACAGGAAGGACAGGCAGCACACATGGGTCAGTGCATCAGCTACAGGCCCAGCCAAATTCCAATGGAAAGGGCTACTCCAATACCCTGCCAGCCTCCCCACTCTACTGGAAGGCTGGGAAGGCACAGGAAACCACCCAAGGACACAGGCTGAAGCCAAGGAGTCAGAGTCAGACGGGGCTGAAGCTGTGGAGATGCCTAGCCCTTACCTGCAGGCACTGTGTTGCTGCTCTCCTCGTTTGCTGTCCGGGCTGGCTCCGAGGGGGCCGTGGGCTGGGGCAGGGGTGGCGGAGGAGGCACAGTGGTTGGCACAACAGGAGGCGGTGGGGGAGGCGGAGGGGGAGGAGGTGGCAATAGTTCAGCATCTTGAAGATCTGAAAGATGAAAGAAGTTGTATCTGAAGGATCCCAGAGAATGGCACACTGTGGTCCCTCCTCCCAAGCCATGCAGAAGGTGAGGGAGGTAAGGGGCCTAAAGTCAGGCCAGCGCCTGAGCCAGCTGCAGCTTTCACTCAGTCCTAAGCACAAGCCAAAGGTACCTCCAACATCCATCTTAAAATCTCTACCAAGGGACTTTCTGCTTCATCTCCATCTTCTAGCAATCCCTGCCTTCCTCCTTCACAGGGTCCTGGGATCAGGGATTGGAAATACCTGGTTGCAAAGGCTCCACCAACTCAGTGTTGAAGGTGGGCAGCTCTGGAATAGCACTGCTGGGGGCAGACGGTGCAATGCCGGGGCCCAGGTCAGCGCTGTACATGAGATCTGCAGCGATGCCAGGCAGGTCTGGCAGGTAGGATGGCACATCAATCTCAGGGACCTGGCCCAGATCTGGCACGTAGAAGTAATTTTCAGCTACCTAAAAGAAACCCAGACCAGCAAGATAAGGCAGTGACTATGCACTTGCAGCAAACAGGGGCACTGCAGGGAACACTCTAGGTGGCAGTCAGAGCTGAACTTGTGTACCCTGGTACAGTGGCCACTCATCAGCTACCCCTGCAACTCTGTGCTCAGAGGCTACCTCCTGCAGACCAGGCCTGAAAAAGGCAGGCTGCAGGAGGAGGAAGTGAGGAACTCTTCCTAATTTCTTGCAAATGGACTCTCTTCTTCTCTGAAGGCTTCATGCACTAACTGTTGCAGTCAACATAAGACAGTCCCTCTCCTCCAGAAGAGGATGGAACCTGAACCATTTGAGATTAGGATGCAGGAGAGAAGCCCAACCAATTGGTTAGATGGGCTTGGTCTTCTGTTTAACACAGGGAACACAGTAGTGAGGTGCACTGTGAATAAAGGATTTATTCACTATATACACTATCTCCTCCAGTCCAACATGATGAGCAAATGGCTCCTAGGCTCCTTTTCCCAGTTCCAAACCACACATTCAACCACATACCAGCAAAGCTGGTGTGTCAGAAAGTGCCTGACACACTAACCAAGCTGAGTTTCCTATGGGAACAATTGAAGTAAACTTTTTGTTCTGGTCCTTTTTGGTCAAGGAGTAATAATACAAATTTACCAGCAAATAATACAAAATACCAGCAAAGCTGGTATGTCCCAGGTATGGCCTCAACCAAGTGTCAGGTAGAAGATCAGTCACATGTTTGAGCAACTGGGTGGGTGTCTGCACTGAGCACAAGCCCGCTGCTCAGTCTGGCTGGCCCTTCTGTTTGCACCAGCATGCACTCCTTCCCAGCAGGAATGATGGGGATCAGACCTCCCACCAGGGACCTGCTAGCAGTGGCACCTCACCCTCAGACTCCTCATGAGGCTCAGGAGTTAGCACAAGGGGGCTGATCAAGTGATAGATCCTCCAAACTCCCCTACAGACCTGAGGTCTCATGACAAGGTGAACTAGTGTCACATCACTCTTCTCACACCACTCAGCAAAGGATTGAGCACAGAGAGAAATGCCTGCCAAGTCTGAGGGTTTTGTCTTGTACCAAACTCATACCAGGACCTCAAGCACAAAACCAAGCAAGGTCCTTCTGGTAAGTGAGGTACTCTGCAGCCCCATGAGGGGCCATTCTCTCCTACCTGCCCTCCACCCTACAGAAGCCCTCTCTTCTCAGAGAGCTGAGCACAACCCTCTGAAGTGAAAGCAGCTGCATCACCACAGCTGCATCTCACCTGTCGGTCCAGCTGTCCCCTTTTGGTGATGGAGAGAGGAGCATCAAAGAGCTTCTCTTCTGTCTCTGTTTCCAGAGCCACATGGGTCTTGGTCACTGCTCCAGCCAGAGGATCCAGGAAAACATACTTCTTGTACCTAAGAGTAGAGGACATGTATTTTAGTGATACTACCTCGAGAGCCAAGGCCAGAAGAAAGTGTACGCAAGAAGGCCTGACTTCATTCAAAAAGGTTGGGCCTTCCAGTTTCCTTCTTTTAGCCACATTTTCCAGCCCTTCCCCTTCACAACCAGGAAGCGATCAGCTCCCCACCCTGCCAGTGCAGCCTCACAATCACCCTAAAGCAAACCCCACTGCAGTGCCACCATTGCCAAGCTCTCCCTTTTCCACCACCCAGCCTGAACCATCCCACAGCCTGCAGCAGGACACCAGTGACTTGTCACTCAAGGTCCAGGAGGAAAGACAAAAAGGGAAAATGATCCAGGGCTCAGGAGAAGAAAGAGAAGATCCAGCAGCTGAAATCTCTAAAAGGGCTTAAAGAAGCTCTTCAATATGGGCAGAAGGAGGAACCATAAGGGAAAGCCCAATAATGGAAAAGGGAACTGCAGTGAGGGAGGTGGTGGAGACATTGAAACAGTGAGGGCAGTCAAGTGATGCTGCAAGGAATCATCAGGAGGAGAAGCAGTACCTAGGCTGGCACAGAGCAGAGTGACAGCACATCTCAAGGCTGGAGAGAAATTACAGGGGAACAATAGGAAAAACTAAGCTGGGGACACGAAGTGCAAAACTGGGTTGAATGCAGATGAGTAGAAGATCAGGTGCAGATAAAACAACTCCCTCCACCCAAGGGAAAGAATGGGGAAGAAAGGGTTCCTAGCTGGAAGCGGGTGCAGATGTAGCAAACCTTGTCCTATCAGGAGCCTGATATGTAACACCCCCAGGAAAGCAAGCGGTTACTGCTACCCCTGGGGAAGGGAAAGCTCCTCTGAGGACAAGCAGGGGCAGGTGAGCAGCACAGCACTGCTCCAGCTCTCACAGGTTCTCGGTGGTATTGAAGAGTAGCAGGGAGCTGAGGGAGCTGATGTTCCTGGGAAGGCTGCCAAGGCCTTCTTCTGCATCATCCTCCTGGTGAATTTTGGTGCTCACGCACACGGGGAAATACTTGAGCTTTTCCTGCAAGAAAACAGATAACAGGTAGTAAGACACTAAAACCATGGCTGCTGAGGTAGCTCTCCCCAGCCACCACAACCCACACTGCTGGCTGCACAGTACAGTCTGGGAACCCTACTGCTTCCTCTCTACCTCCCTTTGAGGAAGGAAACACATGGACAACATTGCAACCCCACATTCATCACAAATCTTGGCAGTTCAGACTCATGGCATGTGCTTTTGGTGCCATGGATGGGTCATATCGAACACGTGTTGCTGCGGCAAGGACCCACCAAGATAAAGCCACCACTCAGGCTCTATAGTCAGAGGCAGGGATCAAGCACAACAGTCTAAAAGGCGTTTGTTACAGTGTCTCCAACTGCTACACATTTTCATGCAGGCAGAGTCCCCCAAACATCTCTATTACCTCCCCTCTGCTGCCTTCAGTTGATGTTTTAAGAGCTGTGATCCCACTGTTGGGGTATGCAGGGAAGGCAAAGGAAAAAGAGGTTAGGAAAAAACAGAGTGCCTGCACTAGGCAAGAGATCAGGCAGAAAAGAGTGTGCAGGGTGGAACGTGTGCCAGATGGTTTTGCAAAGCCTGAGGGATTTGGAGGAGTTTTCAACTCTAATGAACTGAAATCTCCTCTCTCTCGGTTCTAAAACTTCATGCATAATATATATAGAACTCCCTTTAGAAAAGGACTTATTACATCTGAACTGCCTGACTTTTATAGAGCACAGGAATTGCCATCCCACATCAGACCAGTGTTTCAGCTGGCACGGCAGTGCCCACTGCCACATGCTCCGGGGGATGAAGTTCAGCACCCACAGCACTCTTCACTCTAGTGGGAGGAAAGGCCTCAGTTCCTGAACCCAGAGACAGTTTGGGAGGGGAAAACCCACCACCTCAGACCCCTTCACGCCCCTGAGCCCCCTTACAACTTCTGCTTTCTTCACAAACTAGGGCAAGCAGCAGCCTGGCAGCCGCGAGGCAGTAAGTGTTCATATCAGGAGAAACCAGAGCAGTTTGTCAGGTTAAATAACTGGCCACACTTGTGGTTTCCTTCACCAGAAGATGACCACTTCGAATACTGCCCACAGCTTCCTACAGCCTCACTACTTCCAGCATCTCTGCAGCATCCCATTCTCTGTATCATCTCTCCTTGTATTTGTATGGGGGAAATGGAGACCACCATTGGTTCAGTTTTAAGACCACATCTCAGTGACACAAGCAGTTTGTCCTGTTCGAAATTTCAGTCTTGGATCTGGTAGCCAGAAATCCTAAGAAATGGCTTAGTCATAGCTCAGTTAATCCACTAGGAGTTTCTATGATGCTCTGAGTCTATAAAATGCTATAAGACCTGGGAGATTTTGATCTAATTCACGTTCCAACTTGTGAAAAATACACTGAAATGAACATCTTGTATTTTTTTTTTCAGAAGTAGGCAAAAATATACAAATTCTTATTTAGAGACCGTAGAAGCAGACACTCAAAAATAAAAGTTCTTTTGATCATTAATATTCATTTCCCAATATTTAATTTTTTAAGCATGAGGGAGTACTGACTTTTTTGCTAGAACTGTTCAGACACACTCAGCCCTAAAGTTATATATATTTTTTTAATTCTCTCTTTGTAGATTTCAGTTAGCACTGGAAGACTGTGCATCACTTTAAGGGCATAGTGAGAAACCAACCATTACCCACATTTACTTATAAGCCTCATCTAAGGCAGTTATAAAAGCACTAAGCATGAGTATTACTCTGAAACTTTTAATTTAAATGCCATCAAAGTGCTAGTCTTATTCGAGTACCTAGATCTGTTTTGAAATTTGGAACAGTTACACACTGTCAATAATATCCCACATCTGTAAATTCCAGAAGTTAACATGCCATTTAAAAAGTAGTTTTCTTATAGGAAGATTAAAGCCTTAAGCCAAAGTTCAGCAGCCTTGACATACTGAAGTCTTGAGGGATGCTTGAATGCTCAAACACCCCAGCCTGGAGTTTGGTAACTGGCAGGATCACACTCCCAAGGACACTGCATTTTTAGGCATTTTTCTTCATAAGAACCTACAGTTAAAAATACATAAAGTCACCCTGGTTCTGAAGTTTAATTAAGCACACGGTATTACAAAGGGAATTGGTGTGATACACCACAAATCCCACTCTCCCATACCAAGGGAGTGCTTAGGCTATCTGGAAAAGCACTTCAAGATAAGCAAGTGGCAAAAACCTGGTTTAGCCTCCCCATGCCTATGGTGGGCTCTGAGAGAGGCAGAATTCCCAAGGACATGCCAAGTTACTGACATTTTTGAAGCCTAGCAAGGTTACTCCAGCAACAGACTGTAACTTTTGCTTGTACCTCTTCTGAAGTCCAGGCAGACCATGTCTCCCACCCCATTTTTCAGTCTCCCAAGGGGCACTTGCAGCACCCATACACCCTGCAAAGGCAGGGCACAGAGCCTGGGAAGCTCCACAGGGCTGCAGCCAGCTCCCTGCTGAGCCCTGCCCAGCTGCTACCACAGCAATGTGCAAAGCAAGTGGCTTTCCAGGCTTACCACAAGGACTGTGTTTCTGGCACTCTAATCCATTAGTCCTTACCTTACCAACCTAAACAGTGTCCACTCAATGACTGAGTTTTCACTTGCTTGGGGTGGAGGGGGAAAGAAGAAATTCCAAGGGGGGAACCATTTTCAAATAAACTGCAGAACCACACAGATTTCCAGCTCAGCTGCTTTCCCTCCTGAGCACAAACCCTAAATGCTGAGCACAGGCTGCCACCACTTACTCTCAAACCGACAGGAGCAGAGTTTGCTTTCCTGGTGGGGCATGTGTGAGTGGAGTTAGAGAAGGCCACTGTGACTGCTCCCAGCAAAGAGGCCCTCATTAGAAGTGAAAACAGGCAGTGAGCCTCTGCTGAAAGCTCTAAATAATTGAGGAGGGCATAAATGCAAACATTAGACTTCTCCCTGCCACATTTCATTACTGCAAGGCACATCGGGCTCCGTGCTCAGCTATGGCTGAGAAGGGTCTGTCCCACTGGAGCACGGTCAGAGCTCGGCCGCACCAAACACCGCTCAACACACCAACTGCTCCTGGTGCAGGGCCCTCCATCATTCACCAGCTGGAAGCATCCCCCCATCCCACAGAAGACACGAAGGAGCTTATGTGTGTGAGCCTGACAAGAGTGACCAGACTCCTGCGTGATGCAGGGTCAGCAAAGCCAGAGGAAAATCAACAGCCACACAGGACGATCAAAAGATGGGTCACAGGAGAGGAACAACAAACACAAACATCCCCCAGGGCCTGAAACAAAGTCCCTGTGGGGATGGCAGCCTTAGTCACAAAGGGCAGAACATGGCAAAGGTATGGGACCAGGAAGAGGTGGCATTGCAGGCAGATGGCTGTGGGGAAAGGCTTGCACAGCCTGCTGGAGCCAGCAGGCCAGTTGAACGGGCATACCATTGGCTCTCTGCAGGACACCGCTTTCTACCAGCTGAAGCTCTTCTCAATTCCCCTCCTGTCTGAGGGGCTATACATTGGCACCAGCCCTTCAGGGCAGGGACATATCTCCCTGTCTGCTCACTGCTCACTGCCTACCTCTGCCCCCCCCACGCTCCGATGGGACAGGGCCACCAGCCAGACAGCACCACTAATTGGCCTCCCAAAGGCTGGCAGCAGGTCCCATGCAGCTCTGCCCTGCCCTACTGCCAGGAGCCGAAGGGACCCTGCTCGAGGTTGCCAGCTGTCCAGTCAGCCAGCAGCCCTGCTTCCTTGGCCTGGCTGAAATATTCATAACTACCTCACTGTGTGAGGCCTCAACGCCATTAACACTCAGGAAAGTTTAGCATGATAAATTATTCAGTAGCAGCTTTATTTTTGGGCCAAGTCACACATGGATTAGGAAGGAAGTCTCTTTAGGGGTGGAAAGCAGGGAAGTTGTCAAGTTGATCCCTTAACCTGCCTGGAACAGCACATTTGCTACTCCTGACAGAGCACATACACATCAACTTTTAAACTTTAAGCACGTTAACTTTTCCTCCTGTCCTTCCAACCCAGGGATGTTGACCCAAATTGTTGAAGAATCCTTTGGTAGCACTTCCTGTCAAACCCATTGCTTCTCAGACCTCTCTAAAACCTCCCCTCTCTGCCACTCAATCCACAGGTTCAAAGGGAACTCAAAAGTTCAGAACCTCCTTCAATGCCACCAGCTGCAGGCATCTGTGCTATGGGCACATCTGGAAGCCCCAACTGGGCTGAGAGATTCAGCCCCTCTGAAGGGCTTGAAACCTACAACAGATGAGCTACATCTATTGTATGTAGGCAAAGGAAAAGCAAAGCACAAACTAAAGAAGCAGCAAAATGATCTTCCCTCCTCCCCAAGATGTACAACTTTGCTGGGAACCAGGAAGGGACAATACCCAAGTGCAACAATTTCCAATGCTCTAATGAGGGACTTCTTTTTCTCCTGACACACTCATAATCTTTCTTATCTTTCCCCTCTCGCCATCACTTACATCAGAGCCTTCAGAAACTACTTTCTAAACAGCTATGACCCTGATCCCAGATATACACAGTCGAAGGATTAAGCCCAGGCAGCAGCACCCACCAACAATTGCTGCAGAAAAGAGCATTTCAGGAAATGGAACTGCTCCAGAGAGTTGGCAGCTGACAGACACCCAGAGCATTCAACCACCCAGACAAGGTCTTGTACTGACACAGCCCTCTCAAACTGGCATCTCCACAAGCTTCCCAGTCTAATCTCACATCCTTTCATTGACAGACCAAATGAAAATATGTTCTGCTCCCAGCCCATATCCCAAAGCCTTGATCCACTTTGTCAAAGAGACTAACAGCCTCCCAGCTTCTTTTTGCTTGTTCGTGCCAAGGTCTGTTCCCCTCCCCCTTACCTGCAGAGCTTTCTCATCCAGCATTCGATGTTTGCTCTGAATCTTGTGCCTTGGCCCTTTCTGTTTAGCTGGGTCTTCTGCACCAGCAAAAATTGAACTGTACTCCTGCAGCCGTTCAGGGGCTGGGTACTTGGCACTGGAAAATACCTGTGAAGAAACAAGGAGGGACTGAAACAACCCAACAGTTGGGAAATTCTACAACACAGAAACACATGGAATGGAGTGACCACCCCATCTGTGCTGCCAATGGGAATGGACAGTCTTGGAGACAGCAAGCTCCTAACAGTTATGTGCATTGACTGCCACTTCTGAAACTGGAAGTGCCAGAACCTCTCTATAAAAGTTAAAGGAGATCATTGGCAAAAATGCTTCCACTGGCAGGAAAGGAGTTGGAAATACTGTATAAAATGGAGCAAAAATGGTGAAAGGAGGATTTTCACCAGTTTTACATGGCTTAATGGGATTAAGATGCACTAAGGGGAGGCTCTCTAACAGCAGCTTTCATTCAAATAGCCAAACTGCCTATGAGTCTGAAGTGCGAGGGCGTTGGGCTTGCTCAGCACACGCCTTTCATCTTTCTCAGGAGGTAGCTGGGACAGAAACCTATAAAGGCCCCATAAAGCCTGGGGCTGTGTGGCTCATGGGTCTAAAAATCATCAGTTGGCCAAGTCAGGAATGGGATTCTCATCACAACCCTGCTCAGCAGCAAGGCATGGAGTGGTGAGTGAGCAGCAGCTGTGGTGGCTGAGCACCCTTTCTTCACCAGAGCTTACATCAGGGGTACAGAGAGAAGGTGGAGGGAAGAAAGGAAACAATGCAGCCTTCACTGAAGTCACTACCTTAATAGCCTTTTTGCTGCCCTTTATCTTCTCAATCTTCGCTTGGGCGAGTGTGACTCTCTCACCAATTGCCTGAAGCTGTGCCCGGCTGGCCTCTACCCGCTGAGAGATCCTAAGAAGCAAGCACATTTCCTAGGATGAAGAATCCAGAATCAGCGATTTTTAGGCAACAGTCAGTGCCCAGACCCTCAGAGAAGGATGCAAGTCTCAGTAGACTGGGTTGTTTCAAAGGGCAAAACAAAGTGCTGGTTGAGACACACTCATCTCCATCCCACTGAGAGCTTTATGTACTCCAACATGACATGAAGTAGGACTAGTCCGTGACTCACAGCACAATGTTCCTGAGGCTGTTTAAGGCACAGAAAGATGGAAAAATGCAGCTTTTTTGCCAATGCCAGAGGGCCACAAGCCTCTCTGCAGGTACTGCTGACGAGAAAGCCACAGCCAGTTATCAACTGCCAACATATTTTTAATAAAAATGACTTGTCACAAGTGAAAGGCAACACATGTTAATGAGCAGAGTTCAGGACTCACATGGCTTATACTGTCCTCTCCTGTACCAGCAGATCGTTACACAACTTTGTCTATGTTGCTTAGCAGTTTTGTGATTTGGTTTCCACATCAGTTAAACAAGATTAGGTCCTCATTTGGAGAAATGAAGCACGATAATGTGCATCATTTTTGCATGACTAGATGTGCTGGTTTTGGTTGGGGTAGAGTTAATTTCCTTCATAGTAGCTGGTATAGGCTTGCGTTTTGGATTTGTACTGGAAACACTGTTGATAACTCAGGGATGTTTTGGTTATTGCTGAGCAGGGCTTGCATAGAGCAAAGGCCTTTTCTGCCTCTCACCCCACCCCACCAGCGAGTGGGCTGGGGGTGCACAAGGAGTTGGGAGGGGATACAGCCAGGACAACTGATCCTGACTGACCCAAGGGATATTCCATTCCATATGGAATCATGCTCAGCATATAGACTAGGGGGAAAGTTGGCTGGGGGCCACTGCTCAGGGCCTGTCTGGGCTTCGGTCAGTTGGTGGTGAGCAATTGTTTTTCATTCTCATCACTTGTCTTTCTTGGGGTTTATTTCTCTTCCTTTTATGTTATTTTCCTTCTCATTACAGTATTATTATCATAATATTTTATTTCCATAAACTGTTCTTATCCAACCCATGAATTTTCTCACTTTTACCTTCCAGTTCTCCATCCCCCCCAGCCTGCTGGGGGCAGGGTGAGCAAGGGGCAGTGTGGTGCTTCGTTGCAGGCTGGGGATAAACCATGACACTAGATCAGCATCAAAATGCTTTGGGACTGAGGTGAAAAGCACTCTGTGGCAACAGGGGAGAGCAGACACTGTTTAAATACCTCTGTGTTCACCACGTGGACATATTCCTTTCCCACAAAGCCTACAGTAGACACCCTGCAGCCAGGGGCACAGCCAAAACTGCCTGCATGTCACGCACAGTGGCTGCCATGCTGCAGGAACTGTCACACAGGTTCAGCTAGAGGTTAGGAGGGACAGTGGGAGCAGACATCAGCTACAGGAAACTACGCAGTCACCCTCTCAGAAGAGATCTTCCTTCCCCATGCACGACCAGCAGGTTCTCCCTAGCTTCAAGCTCAGAAGCTGAAAAGTGTTCTGAACATTCACCTCTCCAATGAAACCAGCAAAGAGTACTTTTATGGCTATACAACCCATTAGGAGAGAGAGCACTCCACCCGTGTTTTGTAGCAATGAGTTCCATCAGACCGTTCTGTGCCTGTAAAAATCAATCTCAAGTACTGTCTTTCAATTTCACCAAAAGTCCCTCTTTGCTTTTGAGAGAGCTCTCACACTTTTTTTCTGCTCTGTCTGTATAAGTCCCTTCAGCAACAAATTTGACATCAGCAGTGATCCATGATTCCCAATTTCAAACTGTATCAAATCCATCTTTTCAAATATTTTCACCCTGTGCAGCACATTCCCTATTACAGTACAGAAATGGACTCACTAAAGCCCCCCACAACGTAGGTAGTGAAAAACAGCCAATACAAACCTGTTTTACTTTGTATCATTCTGAAAGTACCCCACTTCTTTCACTGAACAGTTTTAAGTGTTTCTGTTTGTTATAGCCATGCTCCCCTGTTCCTGGAAGCATGAAAAACCTTCCTTATGCATATGGCAGGATAACACACAGCCTGTTTCCACTTTATTCTGTTTGGAGTAGGAGACGAGCAAAACTGAACCTCATGAGATTCTCCCTCTCAGAATTATTCTCCATTTCTCCATCCTTTTATTTTAAACACAGTCTAACAGCTTGTATTTTGTACCAACACTGAGTACAAATCTGTTCATGATTTTCTTCCCACATCCTCCCTCTGCCTGAGTGGAGTAAGTCCACATCACTTATACACTTGATAGGTTCTCAGAGTAGTTTCTGTTGTTCCTTTCAGTGTGCATTTCCTAGCACCTGTCTGCAGCAAGTTTCATGTGTCATAGGGCTGTCCCACTGCCTGGTTTTGTTCAAGTGTGAGATGCCTCTGAAGTACCTAAGTCTTCCCTAACTGCTCTCCCCAGAACATTTTCCCATCTCACAGCTCGTCTCTCTTCTAGAAGTTTCATAATTGTATTGATTGACACTATTTCCAGTACTGGTCCTGGGGGCATCTGACTATTTTTTCTTCCTTCAAAACTGAAAAAACCCCAGACATTTATTTCTGCTTTGCTGCTCTCCCTCAAATCAATGATGCAATTTTCTTTCTCACCTGTGGTAGACCTCTCTCCTAGAAGAACTCAACAAAGCTTTCCTGAAGCTCCACATAAAAGCAAGGTATCAATTGCCTTTTAGCCAATACCCTGCTGACTCCCAGACACAATTTTCAGGACCTGACAGGGTACATTTTCTCTCCCAGAAGGAAGTGTTAAGCAAGCAGTTATGCAAGCTCAGACCTAGAAACCAGTAAGTGTTCTCCTTCCTTCCACTCCATGAATGTGAGTGGGTCAAATGAGGCAGTGAAATGCTTCCCTTGCTCCCTTTCCTGCCCCACATCATCCCCAGTGCTTCACCAGGTATCAACTTCTTCCTCTCCCTTGCCTCACTCAGTGTTTTGCTAGCTATGAAGAAGCAAAGGAGTTTTTGAGGAATCCCAGTTACACTTACCTTTCGCTCTTAACCCCTCCCACATTTAACTCTCATCCTCCAAAACACCTGTGTAGCAGAGGAACAGTGCCACAACTCCCTTTACAGCCCCACCAAACACAGCAGTGCATTGGTTATTCCAAAGGGCTTCTCAGTGCCAGACTCCTCATCCCTCCTGTAGCACAGACAGCACCATGGGAATAACAGAGAGCAAAGCACCTCTCAGTCCACTGTGCTGCACACACCTTTCTCATTTAAAATTTGCTGGAACCTCTCTTAAAAAGGAAACAGCCCTAAAACCCGGACATGACTGGCAATTACTGTGTCCTAGCTGCAACAGTAATGGTGCATCCATAAGGAAAGAGGGAAGACATCCAGAGTTTCATCCATCCCTACTGCCCACCAAATATGATCAGTAAAAGGGCAGTATCAGGCAGACAGCCCACTCCCAGCACAGGCTGGGGAAGTTGTCCAGTGGCAGCTCAGGTGTTTCAAACCATGACGGCTCTTCCCCAAGGCACTCTGTACTCTCTCCTGTGATCTGCTACTCTAGGATTTGACAGGCCAAATCCCACTGACCTTAGGAGTTCTGCCAAAAACCTTCACCTGAGGTGGTACAGATGCAGGCCCACAACACTGAAGGAATACACATCAGTCTACAGAATTAATTTATTTGTTGCTGAACAAGATAACTTTGAAAATAAATATTAAACCTCCTCAATCCAACTAATCCAAATTCCATCATATCTACAGCCTCCTAGAAGTGCATGACTGTTATGCATGTACAGTTCAAGATACAGCTGCATGTGTTAGTTAAAAGAGACAATATACTGTACTGATACAGAAAAAATACATGGAGAAAAACCCCTTGTGTTCAATCATCCTCCAGTCATTTTAGTATTTCTACTGCTGTGGAAACTGAACTTACTCTACGGGTCAACCAGTGTTTGTAAAGAAAGGAAAGAGAAAAGGAGGGAGGGATGTTGCCAAGGATTTCAGGAGCAAAGTGCTTGAAGCAAGGTGGCATTCGGAGCTCGTCACTGAGCAGTGTTTGGTTGAAGGGCAATTGCACTCAGGACAGCAGGGGTAAGTGTTCATAAAATACCCATTGCTGTCCCTCAGAACCCTTTGCTCAGACAGCCAAAGCCACCATCAGTGTCTGAGCCTACCCCATGCCTAAGTTATTAGTCACTGCTGTGTTATTTTGCTCTCGGTGCTCTCTTCTGCTTGAGAAACGCCTTTAGTTAGATTCAATGTGACTTTGGAGTTGCAAAGAAGCAGGAGGCTACAGCAACAGCCCCCCTCCCCCCCCCCTCCGTTTCATCAGGATGTGCTCCCTTTGGGACAAGTGAACAGGAGGCCTGTGGAAAAAGAATAATCACCTACCTTCAAATCCCGGGCACTGAGCCAAATCAACCCTCCCCTCCCAATGCTTTTCTTTGGGGAAGTAATACATGTGGTAGATTAAATCTATCTAGTGGATTATCTCTTAATCCATACAGACTTTTATTTTTGATCTAAGTAGATATTAAAGCCAATCTTTCAGCTGCTTTGATTCAAGCTTTCACTTTCTCTTGTACCTCTGAAATCTTTTTGCCCTCAAGCCCCCTGCACCTCACCCCCAACTTAGATCTTTTTTCTCCATTCTCCTAAGGCCCTCATCCTGCTGCCTTAAACTTCTCTCCATTTTACAGGCAACTCTCTCCAACACCACAGCAAGTTCCAGGAATATTTCCTCCCAGATCACTGCCCCTCTCATCTGTCCCGCCTGCAGCCACAGAGCAGATGACTTCTTGTTTCCTTATAACTCCTCTGATATATCTCACATTCAGGCAGCTACTGGAAGACCTCCTCTGCTGCATCTGTGTCTACTTGTGGGGTAAAAACTACTGTTCTCTTGCTCCCATAGGAAAAAGATTTGAAGCATTAGGAATCTGACCTCCAGGACACTGAATACTGCCCGACAGTCATCAGCACTGGCAATAATGCTACAT